CACTTCGGTGCCCACTGTGTCTAAAAGCGGTGACCCGCACACAGCTGTAACAGACACTCGCCATTGTTCGTACGGTTAGAGTTAAGTCTATATTTGCCACATAGCAGAGCTTCTGTAGAGCTCAGACGATTTATTTGCACATTCTTATCCCCTGCAGGAACTCTGATATGAATTGTTCGCACTGCGTAGCAGCGTTTTCAGTTCATGGTATAAGCGTCCTTGACAACATCAGAACTGCAGTCGGTAGGACATAGGCGGAAACTACGAACAAATAACGCCTTGCACTACTTCGTGAATCAATCTTAGTTGATGCCGTCACAAGAATTCAACCAATCATCGATGACTCAACCTCGGAACTGAGAACAATGCCCACTCCGGCTTGACCAGTGATTACCGTATCAGCGTCCGGATGCTTACACTCAATAGTGAGAGAACAAACTGGGCGCAATTTCTTCCGAAACCTCGTGAGGGTTATTGATCCCAATTTCAGACACACAACGCACGTCAATATCCATTGTGTCCAACGTACGTGCGAGTGCAGCCTGTTGACCTATTTGTCTTCTAGTGAGAACGTTGAACGCCGCCAGGGAAACGGGACTTTGTGGTCTCATAAAGTGCTGTTGGTGATTGGCGTCCAGTGGGTGGTGCGGGAAGATAGCCGCAGATGCTAAAACTGCAGTGACATTACTGCTACTGTCAATTAAGGTGGGAATTATAGAAGGAAGACCAGTGATGTGGTTGTGAAGGTAGTAATAGAAACATGGAGGAAAAGAAAGAGGGAAGACGCCAAAAGCAGCAGTGTGTTTTCGCTTGTCCGCCCTGCTATGTGTAGCAGATAAGCCGAGCCTTGGTAAGCTGCGCGACGGCCGATGCAGGATGTGGTTGAAGTTTGAAGAAATTATCATTTTCTCCATGAACTGTGCACCAATATGGACACAAATCTTACTTTCCTGTCCTAACGGAGATAATTGCTACTCACCACATCTTCAAAGCTCACTCAGAAATTCATTGTTAAATAATTGGCGAATCTGATTCTCGGCGTTGTACGATCGTTTTTATCTCTCTGATTCGTTGAGCTACCGTGGGTGGTACTGTTAAAGTGCACTCAGGGCTACTCACACTAGATGGGCCAATTCATCAGAGCTCGGGGATAAGTCAGTAACGTTCGCGATCGCGAGTGTTTTCTTCCCTATGATCGACAGTCACACTTGAATTGGCCTGGATATGCATGCGTGCAGATATTTTGCATGATGACGAGGGACGGATCGTATTTTAAAATGTCGACATACTCATGCACGTGAAAAACATCGCGTGTGGCTAGACTCAGGTTCATCCCAGTGAGTCTATAATCACGTACCCAATCTTTATAAAGCGCTAAAGATCGTCCCTTGAAAATCGTCGTGGTATCCACTTGATCTCAATCATCTGCAATGGCCCATTGATCCTCGTGAGAGACGAACTGATGAAAGCTAGACTGGATTCCACCTATATAGAATTCATTATAATATTCAACAGATGCTTCAAAAACCGCCATCCGTACACGAAACTTATCATGGTAGTCCTCCTTGACTTGATGACCGACTTTGATTCTATTGTCACATCTGCTTGCCATTGTGCCTATCTTTGAGGAGCGTATCTGAGATGTTCCTTTCTATTCTACATTGATGATAATAGTCATTTTGCATATTAGCTGGAGGTAAAAAAATACACCTCAGCTATTGCGCCGCAACACAAATCAATCAAATGGTCATAAAAATACAAAAAACAGTATAATTCTTCAGCTACACTTAGCTTCGAGATTGAGTTCATGGTTGTAGGGAAAGGGACAAGGAAACTCAGCACAAAGGCGACTGAGGACGGCTTTCGGTCATGTCAACAAATATCTCCAACCAAATGCATTCATCATCTTTGCTTTGCGAAGGTGGGAGTCCCGATGCATAAACTGAGGCCAAGCTCGAGTTGAGAACCTCTGTTCCGCTTGGCCAGGTCATTGGTTACCCTCTTTTTCCGTCGAGACCCCGTTCGCGCAAATATTGCACGTTTATAAAGTCCATGTGCTGATATACGGAACTTCACAACTTAGCGCTTGAAACGACGTTACTGAGCTATTCGGTTGCTCTTGCCGCGCAATTAGCAAGGCGGTCGTGTAGAATCCCACTTTTCTACGTTCGTCATATTAAGTAGAGTGCTTCGAGGCTGCCCTATCTCTCCATTTCTCTACAAATTACTAATCATTTGATCACGTACGACTTCTGCATCTTGCCTCTCCTCTCAGTGCTCGGTTATAAAATCTAAGATATTTGGAAGATATAGTTCTTTTTGGTTCGGTTTCAGATTATATGCTAGCGTCACCGGAAAATCTGACGCGTAGAACTTCTCGCTTCGGGTTGTGCTTTGCATCTTTACATTGTAACATTTTGTTGCAGGAATGAGACGACCTCCAGTTCTCACTGTCACTAAGCAATCAATTGAAGTGTCCAGTCGGTCTACTTATAGTTTAGTCGACCGGTGGCCGAGGGGTTTACATGCCTGCATTGTACTCTTGAGATAGCCGGTTCGAATCCGTGTAGCTGCAGACAATCTAACGGTATACGCACCCCTCAGGCGACTGGCGCTGGTCACGTGGCAGCGAAGCTTCAGGACGGTATGCTTGCGTACTTTTTCTTGTAGCTGAACAGCTGTGTCCCTTGTGGTGGCAATCTCACCGAATGTATCCCCACACCCATTTCTTAGACGTGTGTGACTTTTCACATCCCCATTCCCTTGTTACTACGTCGGGATATGAGATTTGTCCTCACTGCGAGACTGGACTTTAATGTGGTGCTTACTTCTTCGACCCATTGAAGTATACTGGGTGATGCCCTCGGGCTCTTTAGTATCTGCTTTATCATACCTGCCAGTTTCGTCGACAATACCCACCTTCATCTTTCTGTTGTTCTCTCTCCTCGCAACTCTCTTCTTTCTCTACTGTTGAAAAGGACTGCCGCTTAGTCCGCAGCTGCTACCAATGATTAGATCGCACGAAACTCGAGAGGTGCAAAAGTTGATTTGGTAACGAGAAATGAAGTCATTGGCAATTAACAGGTGCTGCTGGTCCGTCTCGCCTTCCCGACTGGAATCCACGCGACCCGCCTTGTGCATGACTCAAGACATACAGGATGTTTCTCAGCCGGCACAAATGGCACGATTGTTATCGTTTTTTAATCATCTTGCCTTTCTAAGTTGTCTGGTGCTGTGTTATCTATGGGGTAATGTATGACCATGACGCGGGGCATTGCAAGGCTTATTTGTGTTCTACATTATGTTCCCATTCTTCCCTTCCTTTTATTTTTCATTACTTATTTTATCGCGATTGTACAACAATACAACACCAGTTCAAAACACTTATGTGTTGTTGTTGTTCCCGCTTCTGTTGTTGTTGTGCATGAGTCAGTGGAATGGTTTGGAACGCTGCGGTTCGCCTAGTGATACTGGGAGTAACAGACATTTGGTCCCTGCGCCCCGAGGATGCTCAGATACTGACCGCGTTTGACCACGGATCAACATACAGTATTGGCCACACCTGGTAGGAGAACTTAATGAGTACTACTGAACTTTATCATATGGTGTTTGGTTGCAGATCTTTCCATACCTCACTGGAGTACCGTTTGAGTTAGGACTGTTTTATTTGACTCAGTCATGTGATCTGCATGTCTGCTGGCCGACTGCCTCGGTTTATGTTGTTTACCAATACTGGGCGCAGTTATATAAACTCCCGGGATTACTAGTCAATGACACGGTTTAGTCGCAAGAGGTATTCATCTAAAGACTGAATCTGGTTGGTTCTTGGCGGAGTCCTTGAAGCCAGCCACATCGGTAGTTTGATGCGTTACCAAATATGGCGCGGTAGGCAGGTGAAAAACCTCGCAGTCGTTCCCTATTTTCTGACTCCTAACTATTCTGTCTGCCAATCTTAATTCTTCCACATTTCCATTAGGTTGTTATTCGGTCGGTGACCAGTTCGAATCTGCGTAGATCCTTAGCCCCACACGCGACTGGTGTTGGTCACACGGCAGCGAAGCGTCGGTGCTATGCTCCGATGTACTGCTGAAGCCTATTTTTTAAAATCATGTATCATTTTGGCGATGTGTGTGTCAAGGTAGCTGGATTCACCACTGCACTTCGTTGCACAATTCAAGCTGCTTCGTAATTGTATGCACATAGATGCGTGATTATGCTCCAGTGGAATTAGCAAACGCTGCTAGCTTTGATACCTTTAAGTCTGTGTCCTTGCTAGGAGATGGGACGTCGCACAGTGTAAGGTTAACTTATATCATCGAACTTCCATGCTAACAGATTGGCAATGGTTTGGACAGAATCTAGCTACCTTCTCGTGTCCGCACATCAACCGGGATTTTACCACCATTAGTTTAATCCCTCGAGATTGGTAGTGGCGGACCTTGGTTTTTATTTTATCTGCAACTGCTATTCCCGTTACATCGTGAAGATATTCAATTCACTACAACACATGACAGCGGGACATGGCCTCGAGCTCATTTAGTTTTGAACCGCTTACTCGGGAATCAGATAGGTTCTATCCTCCAGGTCTCCTGATCTACCTTTTATATCCATCCCATTTGGCACGCATCAGTTAACTCATGACCTCAATAATATCTATGCATTCGTGATTCAACAGCATAATTAATCAGCTAATACTTGACCAACGCATTCATAGACCTGGGCATCGGTACTAGCTTGCTAGCACAACTGCTGTTTGAGATTTTACCGTCTGTATTTTGATGCACAGATTTTCTAAAACGTTCAGTTACATCAGACTACTGGCCACAACGCATGATAAATAGTCACCTTTTAAATCGCAATGCCGCATTCTATTCTATCTAGGATATATTTCCCAATTTCGTATCCTAAGTTCCGGAAGTTACGATCCAAGCAATTGTTAGGACTAGCTGATCGCTCCTATTTGCTTCAGTTAATTTTCGTTTTATGTTTTACCCATACAGACCACCTTCAGCGAATGTACCGCCCGAAATGCCTGAGTCCAAGTTGAGCTCATCCACCATTCGATTCGACCTATTGGGCACTCTGTTGCGCTCAGTTAACACGACTGCTCGTGATAATCGAAAAGCGCGTAATCCCTATGTCATCGGTTTAGTTGGACCGTCTGGCGCCGGCAAATCTGCCTTAGCCAAACGCCTTGCTAACATGAGCTCTCAAGTTCAAGTCCTCGACTGTGACCGTCTAGGTCACGAAGCTTACAGGTGCGTGGAAACAGGGTCCCTCCCATTACATGCCACGCACGTATTCTCAATTTACCATGTACTTGATTACTTTTCGCGTATTGGTCAGTGTATATGTGCCTCATGAGAGCTCGTGGCTTAGTTGTGTTTTTAGGTCCCTAGCTATCCCTTTCTGTTGTCAGGCTAACGTTTTCGTTGCGTATGTTACTACGCCGTCGGTTGTTCACTTGCAGTGCATCCCATTAGTAGCTACCTGATCCTTTTTATGGCCACGATCGTTGTTGAAATGTTGGAAATATGTTCCTTGAATCCCGAAAATCTTCTGGTTCGTCTCCATAGTATGCAACCCACTGGTTGTCTCCACTCTTAGTCGGAACGGACGAAACTCTTCACTGATAGTATCCCACGCTCAAAGTAGTCAACTGAACTTGGGTCGTTACGGCCTGAGTGACCTAGCCGCTAGACGTTGTACATGCGAACTGACACTGAGGACAGAACGCGTAACTTCACACGACTGCACCGAGGCCCAGAAAAGAAACACGGGCCGATAGCAATCGTTTGTTTATTGGCTCTGCGAAAGGCAAATCATGCATTCTACACCGTATTTACAACAATTGTATAGCAACTTAATACATGAACCATAGGGGAAGGTGGATGTTAGCGCCGCAGATGAGTTGCCGCGTAGTTGCAGTGCCCTGAAGAGAGCTCATTTGGTTCCTTGTAACTTGAGGCGGTAGCTACTGTAGTGTCCTGTGGAGAGCTCCGTTGTGACCTGCGCAGTTTAAGGCACCGTACGGTGACATCATTCTTGAGGCGAGCTGTGCGCAACTGTCGCGGAGCTAAATGAGTTCCACTGCGATATAGAAGCAAATGTTGGTAGCTCAGGTTGTTCAGTTGGTTGTCTGATTGTTCGCTGAGCTCTATCTTTGAAGTTAGTATTATTTTTGACCAGGGCTTACCTGCGGTGCTTTTGACTCCCAGTGGATGTATCTTATCCTGCTGTGAGAGCAGTCGAGTTTCTGTGTATGTAGTTGTAACTGCGTAAACAACTTGCCCTTTGAATCAATACTTACATCTCGTAATCGGAGTTGATTGCACTGACGAACCCATATGTCATCCGACAGTATCGTGACTTGTGATTACGCACTAAAACCAATCAGTAAGAGATCGGCCCTGTTGTGTTTTACGTGATTCTGCAGCGAGATCGGTTTCACTCTATATCATCAGTGAATGTTTTCATGTGTTGCTTGTGCGACAAACGGCAACTCATAATCGACTATTTGCTATCCAAAGCCGTATTGTTTGTCTTGCTATCACGCTGGTGTTCGGCAACACATCCGGCATCGGACAAAATGCTTGATGCCCATGGAGCTAACCTTTATTTTCTTACCATTTAGTCACCAGATTTTCCGGTACTATTTTTTGAGTTTACTGATTTTATTTGTTCTGTGCCGTGCATAAGATGGAGTTATGGCGAGACCCACCATACTCTGGCGCCGCAGTTGACTGATTGTTAAATCTAGATTGCCCGCTCCGGCCGGATTATCTCTCTCGCATACTTGTTCGCTAGCTACCTCCATGCGTAACAGTCGCCAATATTTCACTCGATTGGATGAACACCTGAGGTAGTCGTTCGATATTATTGGGAAGACTCGGCCGATGCAAACGTCTGGCTGCTCTCTGTTTCCGAAATTCTCGGCATTGCACGGAGTAGCATCACCAGGGAAATGTCTTACGGGTGGACAATTTCTTTCTGTTTCATCAGCTGTGGTTCTGGTAGTCGAATCGACCAAGGTCTACATTGAGATTGAGCGTTGCAATTCAATCACACAACCGGTACTTTAAAATGACCCTACAATCAGTCTTACACAACTTTTGGCTGACGTGGGATTCCCCATATACATGGCACCGCCAAGTTTTTTGTTACTGGCTCTCAATACTACACTTTAAAGTCAACCACAACCGGAGTTGCTAAGGTAACTCGATACGTAATTTTTGACGAGCTATGTTTTAACCACAATTCCACCAAACTCCGTTAGCAATACGGTGTCGCGTGTATGGACTGTGGCACAAAATCCCGCTTTAGATCACAATTTACTGTTGAAAGTCGCCTGAAGAGATGATTGCGTTATAACCTAATGGTCACTTGGTTCAAATCTGCTTAGGTGCGAGCGACGTCGTGGGAGTTTTTTCAACCACTCGCACAACCCTTGTCTCGGCGGTTAGAAATACAGTGTGTTCAAAATAACAGTATACAACAAATGCTGGGATGTTTTGTTAAAAAGCGTATACATGGATGGTACATGTTATCTCGATCAAAAATGACAACGGTGTGCTTCTGAGTAAATGGTGATCCAAGTCTAGGACGCATTTGGTAATCCAAAAATCCACGTTAATTTTTTTCTTTCACATTTCTTATTTCATTATTCCCATAATCCATGTGATAATGCTAGGTTACGACACGTAAATCCAAACGAACAGGTTACATCGGCCTGACTCACATTCTCTCTTTTACTTTAGTGATAATTTCAAATTCCTGAAACCAGCCACTTTCTTCTACTCCCCTTTCGACTTACTTTTGGCGGCAGCGAATTCGAAATTGCATTATTTGTTCTCTGCGGTTGTAAATAATCCGATTTTTCTTTAGAGGCCTCGTCATTATCTTCATAGATGACACGCTAACACCAGCGTGACGAAACTGGACATTATCGTGGTGCGATGCTTTGGGTGCCTCGCTGATCCATTGAGCGATGGCTTTCGGTGTTTATTGCATCGTCAGAGACACTCATACCAGATTAGTCAGTGGTAAGAGATCAGACAAGCTCAGTTTCTTAGCGATGTTTCGAGCCACAGTGACTCCTTGCTCCATAAAGCGTACTCTCAGTAGCCCAATCCTAAACACCCGTTGAGTTGCGATTAGCTTTTCGAAACCGGCGATTCAGCTAAGAATCCCAGTCGTTCTGTTGTTTAGACCTCAACAATCTGACGCTACCCTAACCACACAATACTTTGAT